TGACCCAAATCACACAACTAGTAAGAGGAAAGCTGTGTTTTTAGCTTATATGGCTTGACTCATAACCTTTTTGCTGTGCTACCTCATTTAATTATTTCAATTTAGGTTATAACAAGCCATCCAAATTAGATATTCAGGCAATAGAGACATAATTAAATTATTTTCCCTTATGATTAGGACATATCATCTGTATATATACAAACCAAGTATAACATAACTTCAATAAATTCATGGTCAAAAAGTCACTGACACATCTGGTCTTTTTATATAGAAATAGGTATGACTTCATTTAAATAAAAGCATAAGAGGCAAAATAAGTTAATTTATAAAGAAGAAAATTTATATACTGCTCTAAAAGACTGCAAGTTTAACTAATAATAAATAGTCATAACCTCCATGCATTTAGGTAAATCTTTTCATTCAATGTTTTTGCTGGGAAAGTCTTTTTTACATGAGGATTTTTGTAAAAGTAAACTCCTTTAGTTTAAAACACTTAGAACATCCAACAGTCATTGGATGTATTAAGTATAAAAACAAAAAAACCCAAACAAGTTAATGTATAAACATGCACATATACAATCTTTATTAATCTTTTATTAAAGCTATTAAACATAATGTATAATCACCATTTTTCAATCACATTCCTTAAAAAGTTTACTGAACACTCATTCTCTGCCATTATTAAAGAGTGGCCACACTCTTTGCTCTATTAAAGGGAAAGGGGAAAAAAACTACACAAAGAAGCTAGTGCCCACTGGTGGCTGATGAGGAGGGAGGGCCTTCTCTGGCAATGGTGGGTCTCCCGTCCCTGCACACATTTTAGTTCAGTGTCTCCTCAGGATTTGTATATTTCTTTCATATTGATCCCTCTGTCTTCTTTTTTAGCTCATGTTCCTATTATATCAGCTCTACAGATATTTCTTTTGTTATTATATATACTACTTGTTTTTATCATATGCACACACATACACACACTTAAAAGGCAGGTCTAGGTAAGCAGCAAGCATTATTATTGTCACTATGTTAATAAAATAGTTGTTTAGTTTCCTTCCTTTAATAATCTCTGAGTATTAAAGAGTTAACTCAGATAATAAAAAAATAAATTATTCCAGTTAAACATCTTTGTTGTTTTTCTCCCCCCTTATTAAATCTTAAGAACTATTTTGGGCTTTATTAGAACAACAAACAAACAATAAACATATAACAAGATTAAGTTTCTTCTCATTGTGACTAACTAGTATTAGTTGGATAGCTTACTTTTTAATCCTCTACTAACTGACTGACTAAATTCTATTTAGAATGCACTTTTTTAAAAAATGGAGGCATGAATATTCAGGGAAAAAAATAAAACGTGGAATGGAGACTTGCACCAATTTTTTTTCTGGACTAAAACTATTTTTGTGTTTAATTTCTGTCACTGCAGCATGTGTCTCCCTCTGCAGGTGAAGAGTAGGCAATTGTTTAATTGTTTAGATAAAAGAACTTGTATTTTCCAAAGTCAAAAGGTCAGACGTCCTTTGCCTTAGGCTGCCCATCTTTATGTATCCAGGATATATAATCAGCAGATATAATCAAAACAGCACTGACTATATAAAGGCACATCCAGTGGGAAGTTGGAACAAGATATTTTCTAACTTTCAAGCCCTTGTACAAATAATCCAATGCTACATCTATTACTTAGAAATTAATATTCTTTAATACTTCTTATACTTTCTCTAAAACATGTATTTCTATAGTGGCTGTAAAGGCTTCCCTAATCTGATGAATCATTTTATTTCGCAGAGGTGGAAGAAGGACCCTGGACTTGGAAAAAGGAACCACAATTTACTCATGGCTATGTTAGTTAAGTAGCATCTTCTCTCTCACTGGGTCTCAGTTTTCTCATCTTTAAAATAAAGACATATAGATTTTTTTTCTGAGTTACATTTTTGCAGGAAAATCCTCAAACTGAAGATGATTAAATAAAGAGGTTGAAAATATGGAAATTCAGAAACATACTGAAAATGATATTGCAAAAACATGACAAATTTTCATGATATGGCTACAAAACGCTTTTCTTAACATTGTTTGAAAATGAAATGTTCAAAAGGTCTCACTGTGCCCCAAGCAATATGGCTCCAAAACAGGTGATCCAAAACAGGTGATCACTGTGCCAATACAGGTATGGTTTGGGCATCTCTGACGTTTTGTCACCCTCTCATGTTTCAACATACTCTTTAGTTCTGGGATGCACCACACACTAAGAACCTCTGCAGATGAGCCTTACCCTAAGTGACAGAGGGATTACTAAATGAGGACACAATGAGAAGGTGGAAGTCTGCAACCCAGAAGAGGGCTCTCACCAGAACCCAACCATGCGGGCACGCTGATCTCAGATTTCCATCTTCCAGAACTGTAAGAAATACCTTAATGTTGCTTATAAGCCACCTAGTCTATGGTACTTTGTTGCAGCAGCCCGAACTAAGAATCTCCTAGATTTCTGTACAGGGTGGGTGCTAGAAACAAAACCAAACAATAACAACAAAACAAAAGGAAAAGGATGCATTGAGTGCTGATCCAGTGAGGCGCTATGCTAAGAGCATCACACATGTTCTCTCATTCAACCTAGCAACAACTAAATGATGTAGTTTCACCATTCTAGAGATGGGGGAACTGAGCAAAGAAAGGATGTGTAACCTGCCCAAGGCCACAGAGCTATCATGATAGAGCATGGCTTGAATTCTAGACAGGCAGAGCACCCACTCGGTACAATTCTAGGGACACCACACCATGCTGTTCTATGAAGCTGCCCTCCAGGAGTGCCTGGAGCTGTACGGCCCTTTGGACCAGCCATGAACTTAACTGCTGGGTTACTGTTCCTCCAGACGGTAAACAAAATCTCTAGGAAGGCCACCTTCACCTTAAAGGGTGCCAACTAACTTGTTCTAACTTCTCCACACTTCCAGGGCCACTGCAGAGATAGAGCCAGGTTCAACAACAGGGGGAGTGGGTCTGGAGGGTAGGGCCTGCGCAGTCAGCTGCCCAGGGCGGGAAGGCACAGTTCCACCTTTCCTGAGTGTCTTGAGTCTTACTGTAATCCAAGTCGCAACCAGCATTATCATTATTATTACTGCTTAGGCTTCAAGGGTGAGCTCAGAGAAAGGAACCTTCCCCTTATTGTTGCTGTCTTGCCCCCAGCCCCCATCCCATGTCCCCACCTTGGTTTGCTATGCTTCGGTAAGAAAGAAGACTTCGCGTTTTTAGTCAGTTAATATCCTGTTGTGCTTTGTGACGATCCCAGCTGTGCTATGCAGTTAGTGACAGTTCATCAGTTTCCCTTCCTAGGTATGGTATTTCTGTAGCCCCACTGTGCCTAGGCCTTGGGTCAGAAGCTTGTGGGTACAAAGGTGGCCATGTTAACCTTCATTTCTCAATTTTAGTGGCTCGTAGTTCCCTCTGGTATTGTTCTAGGGCCTCAAAAATATCTAAAAAATTTCTGGGAGCCTCTATGGGGTTTCTTGCATATGTTTAAGACCAGGTCTATGCCCTCTGAGTGTAGCCGCTCTCCCGCTCATCTGTGCTGGGCATCTGCTGGGGCGGATGGGCAGCTGCCCTGAACCACTAAGCACCCAACCATCTCTTGTTGGACACAATAGTCTCCACTGGTACCTGAAGCTGCTCTTCTGGGACAATGCTGCTCCACCTGTGAAGCCAGCTCATAGGTGACTTCAAGCTAAAAAAGCTTTCAATAAGGGACCAAAATAGCACTGCATTCTGCTCAAACCACAACATCTGTCTTGCTTATTACAAAAATGAGGGGAGGGTAGTCCGTCTTCCTATGGGTCAGACTTGGTGCCCAGAGCAGGTTCTTGATCAATGTCAAGAACAAAACTGGTGAACCATATATACACTATGAAATGACAATTGATAATCATCACCAATAAGATCTTGAAAGAGAAACATGGAAAAGAGAACCAATAATTTAATATTCATTGAAATACAAGTCCCATTTGATAGACCTTCAGAAAAGAAGACATTTACAGCTGTTCCAGAATCAATTCTGATGTGGTAACCACAAATACGACTGGACATGATAAAGTTAAACTTCAAAGAAAGTATACTCACTAATAACTTAATAAGGAGCTCCTTAGCACATTATGGGTTGGAACTTGAGGAAGCTACTTGAAGGAACGAAGTATTGGTCTAGTTTGGAAAATATGTTAATTTTCTTCTAGCAATAATTTTAGAAAATATAGGTTTTCTTTTCAAGGCAATTATTTTAATGACTCAATTGAGGTTTCAAGCAATGATTAAATGAATTCAATTTGGTTTCAGGTTCAGCAAATGAGATCATTTACTCTGTTTTCGGTTCAGTCGAGGTCAAGTTCTGTTCAGACTAATAGGAATTGGGATAATTTTATTTGTGTGCCCTTTACTTACTTCATTCTTTCTTCTACTTTTCTTTCCAAAATATCTATCCATCCCTTTATTTTGATTTCATTAAACTTTTCTAGATTGTATGTTAACTTTTCTCTTGTCTCAAACTGAATTTATTCTTAATATTTGAGTCCTAATAAGGACTCCTGGAAGTGTGTTCCTTCCTATACATAACAGGATATTGATTAACCAAGAAGGTACCCCTTTTATTTATGCTTTCACTTTCATTAAATTAGGCTGCCACCTAGTAATATCACGCTGATAACATAAGCATGGAACCAAAATGGTAAACATTTTGAAGGTAATGCTATCTCTCAAAATACAAATGCCCAGAGCAATGCTAAACTGAGTACAAGCATGAAGTTAAATGATTAGAAAATGGTACATCAGTAAAGATTTTCCAAGTAACAGTTTAAATGGACAACTTGTGAGATCAATGATAAAATTGATAACATAGAGAAGTAACAATTCATTTCTTTAAAATTTTCATATTACAGTATAAAATTGGTGATAGTATTATATTGACTCTTGGAAGATACAGTTTCTTCCTAGATGTGAAGAATAAGATCCCAGATCTTTCTTACCTGTTATGGTGGCTTTGTTGATGGATGGTTGGTTGCACATGGGTGATCTTCTGACAAAGAGAGAAAAATACAAAGCAGTAAATATATGATGCTTGTGGATTTGAGTACTCTCTCTCTGAGTCATCTCAGATATGGCATTTTACTCTAAAGGATTATTTTTAAGTTAGGATATGCAAATGAATATTTCTTTCAGACTATTCGGTCAAGTTCCTGGTGCTCTTTGTGCTATGGTTCAGATCATACATGTCAGAAAAGAAAACTGTTAAATTTCATGGTGATCAAATTGGGGCAAATAAAACTGATGTAAATGTCACAGGGACATGATATAAAAGGAAACCCTTATTGATTTGACTATATTCAATTAACCCAGGGTTTACATAGCAAACACAGACTTTCTGAATTTGAAAATGTAGTTAATCTATAATAGTTTTCCCTTGTGTAGTATTAATAAGCTTTTATTTTTGGCATAAATTCTCATGATTGCCTATACATTTTCAGAAGTGAATTATTTGTTATAAACTGTCTTATAATTAGAGAAGTTGTTTAAACGTCTTCCTTTCTATTTTCTTATATTGAGAAACATCTCTGATGCATTTGTTAGTGAGGTATATTAATGACTTGTCCAAATAGATACCACAGAGACTTTAGAAATACTATAAATGAAAGGTACTTAAATAAATTCTATCTTACATTCTTTTTTAAGTTTTCAAATGTTTGCCAAGTTCCACAAAATGATTATAAACTCTTTGAGGTTAAAAAAAAAGTGCTATCTGATTAACTTGTATTCCCTGCAGAGTCCAGTAGAATGTACCCAGTATCTAACCAGTGCTTAACAAATTAATGTTGAAAAGAATATCATATATGGAATGTCCATTAAAATTTTTTAAACTATAACTTTATAAAGTTGTTAGGCTGCTTTCAAAATATAGTGATCTTTAAAAACACTTTAAGTACAGATACATTCAAGGATGTCTACAAATTATTGTTGTTTTTTTTTTAGTGCTTCAACTCATGGTTGACACTTAAGCGATTGCTGTGTGTCAGACACTGTGCTAAATGAGCACTTCAAATGAATTATCTCATTTAATCCTCACAACAAGTCTTAAGGCAAGTAGTGTCATTGTTCTCATTTTATCAAGAAGGAAAGCAAAGCTTCGAGTAGTTGAAAAACTTGTTCCAAGTAAGAAGGCTGAGATTTGAACTACAGTACTGTAATTTTAGGGCCTGTGCTCTGCTCTGGTACCTTATTTTAAGGATGCTTTTGCGGACCTGTACAGAAAGCCTCACATAAGTGCAAATTTGCCTTCCAAGGCGACTGATCTCCTAGCAGGGCTGGGGGAAATTTGAGAAAAGCAGTCTGGGATTTTGCAAATTCTCCCTGGTTCTGCTCGCCTTGAGCTCCCCCACCATCACTCTTAAGTTTATTGGTATCAGTTTGGGATTAAAATTTGTATCTGATTGTATCAAAATTTACTTCTGAATTATTTTAATTTGTTATTATAAAATAAAAAAGGGGGGAATTGGAACTTGATAAAACCAAAAGATTAATGTTTTAAATCACTGCTCTGAAAATAGCTTTGATCTATATACTACTAGCAATTTTCTTGCTGAAAATTCTTTCTTATTATTCAAATACTTTATATATTGATTACTCCTCTTTAGTCCTTGCTCTGTGAAAAGTTAGAAAACATTGATTTTTGTCTGGAAAGGGTTCAAATGAATAGTTTTATACTTTTCTATAGTTTTGGAAAACCAAATGGTTGACTTGTTACTAATTATCTCCTCTTAATATCAATCCTACAACCAACTGGCACCCAGGGATTTGATATCTTAACAAGAAGCTGCAAGGCAAATATTAATCCTTCGATTCATGGTTGCATTGAGACCTCACTTAATGATGAATGAGCCAGAACTCACTTCTGGATTAAAAAAACAAAAAACAAAAAACTCAAAGGCAAAAAATAGCAAGGTGATGGGAAGCAGCAGTGTGTTAACAACTCAGCAAGGTGCATCTGAACACCCACTTGGGCTGGTCTTTAGATGCATTTTTTCTGGACTCCTTTCCTGTAGCAAATAGAAAGAGTATATGGTGCAAGGTGCACATAGCTTCCACAATACCCAAGGGTAAGCTTGGAAATGTCCTAGTGGCCTGCGAGTGCCCAGCAGGTGGAAGTCTGATTCCCCCAAGGTCGTCATGTGATCAGCAAGGGTTAAATCCACTTCACTCTTACTGAACAGAACCAAGTTTAGCCCTGTGTAGATTGAATCCTACTATTCTGATACCCAAATCAGTAAAGGAGGCACAAATCTGCATTGACCAAAAGACAGAGCACACTGGCCTTTACTTAGAGGCTACTAGATAACACTGTTTGGTTCAATGTCACCCTGGTCATCGCCAAGGCAGGCAGGGAGTTCAGGTGCAAGCTATAATTTTCTATCATCCTCTAGCTCCTTCTTTCCATTTTTATCTTTTTTGTCTCTATATACCATTTGAAAACTTCTATCTTGCCAAAAGGGCCTCAGATCATTTCTTTGGGGCCTGAAGGGCCAGCCAGCCAGACCAGTCTGATCTACTGTTTGCCTGCTACATGTTTAAATGCTGGTACCCAGACGACTATATCTAAAGGAAGTATAAAGGGAGTTCATTTCTTCTTTGCCTTTTAAAGACAAAAACCTTAATTTCCTGCATAAAATTTGAGACTAAAAAGTTTGGAAGTGACAAGCAGTGATTTCATTTCTCCTGCAGAACTGAGACTTTCCAAAGGGGAGGTGATTGTACCTGTAAGCTACTAAATGCCCAAAAACTCCAAGGGGCCATTGAGGTCAGCATGATCTTGTAGGGCCATGCTGCATTGAAAACAGCATGAATTGGTCATGAAGCAGTATTGAATAGGTGTCTCAAAGCAGACTCTCAGGTTTCACAGGTTGAATTGCCACTTTAGTCCTTCACTCAGCAAGCATTTGCAGAGCGATTACTCTGCATTATGGTGGGCACCAGGAATACAAGTGTCAACCAACTACAACCCCTGCTCACTGGGAAGTGCCAGTGTTAAGGAGCATCCTATCAGACAAACAGGCAACAGGAACAAAGAGAAACAGGTGCTAAAAGAGGAATTAAGTAGAGGATGTCATCAGATGGAGACAGAAAGCCGTATCACCTTGTTTGGGGCTTGTGGGTGTGTGTCTATGTTGGGTATTGTCAGGGGCAATGGCCGCTAAAGAAATTTTATTTAAGCTGCAACCTAAAGAATGAATTACAGTTAGCCCAGTGGATGACAAAGGGAAGAAGAAGAAGGTGTTCAGGCTGAAGGAATAGGACTACAAGAATTCATTACCTAGGAAACATGACTATCAAATGAAGCTTCTGGGTTCCATTCCAATTATTTGCAATGTGGCATTTACATTGATTTTTAAAAATCTTTTTCTACCACAGGAAGTACTTGAATAACAGCCAGAGCTTATTTTGATCATGGAAAATGTACATCGGGGATGTCATTTGTATTATTATGGAATGAAAAGTTCAGATTTTTCATGTTTTTTAAGAAGTAGCAACCACTATAAAATTTTATATACTTAGATAAGTTATAGTTCCTAATAAATTTATATTCACTATCCTCTTAATATTGGTTTAAATGTTTTTTTCTTCTGGGAAAATTCTTGGAGTTGATATTTTAAGGATATTTTATTGTTAATAGACTTTTCAAATTAATGAACATTTTAATAATAGTAAATCAGTTTTCCATTTAATCCAGGAAAATGAATTTTCTCTTTTTAGATATTTTACCTTTATCAGAACCCCTAAATTATAATAATTTCCATCTCAGTTTTCCCTCCTTCAAATGCTTTCCATGTTATCACGTAAATTACAATTTTATTAATTGCTCCATGAATGCTGCTGATCTAAGAGTCAGTAACAGCAGAAGAATCAAAGATCTCTGCTATAATATGGTGCTTCTCTAAATAAGATTTCTTTGTCTTAAGAGAATGACTTTGAGTTGACTTTAAGGTTTGATGAGATTATTTGCCCATGGATAATTTATGAAGTAAGCCAAAACTCTAAAGTTACCCTGAGTATAAATGACTGGGCAGAGGACTGATCATGCCAGGTGATTTTTGACAGATGGAATCACCATATTTATTTGTCATATTGCTTCATTTCTGATATTAGAACCATCACTACAAAGTATTTATAGAAAATTAACAGGACATCATATGACTTAGTGTACACGGTAAGACAACATGGTAACAACACGGAGCAGTCTAATATATTGCCTTGAGTTCAAGCACGCTGAGAAAACACTCTTTAAAAGTTTAGCAAAAAGGGAGGAGGGGAAAAAGGATATCTTACTTGCTAGGTGCTCGATCTTGCAAATTAGTTAATGCAGCAAAGTTGTTTCGTACAGTTCGCAGGCTGGCCAAGACCTACAATAAAAAAAGGATTCTTTAAACTTCTTGAAATAGGACTGTTTTAAATGCAATTAAAAATGGTTTGTTAAGAGAACCTTGATATTGCTTGCAACTGAGTTTCATACAGCACTAAAGAATCTCCCAGCATTTAGTGAAGTTTGCACATATCCACATGAAATCCAGAGAGGTCGAACTACAAGGATTTTCCAGAAATCTCTCCTCATTGTCTATGAATATGGTGACAATAGCAGCAGTTTCCACAGTATTCTCACCAAGACAATAGCCCAGGCAATATACACAGAGCATTGTTGTATTTTATGCAAATTAAAATGCTAATAAAGTCTCACTTTAAGAGTAAAAAAACAAAATTCCTCCCAAATTCTCTTCAAAATTTCACCAAGAATCACATAAATTCAATTCGGCAAGCTAAGTGAATTTTACATTGTTTTTCCACCTTTGCCACAAGGCGACTGTAGCTATTTCATAGGAAACAGACATTTTTTTTTCCTTTAAGGTTATCTGAACAGTCGATTGTAAGAAGCCTTCAGGGATGTATTTCTCACATAAAATCCTGCTGCCCTGTATGTGCACAGTGCCTGGCACACAGAAGATACTCAAGAAAAATTTTTTGAACAAGTGAATAAAAACATACATGTTAACAGATATGACAAGGTGGGACGGATTGGTGTCACTTTCTCTGATAGCCTCTGCCGTTTGTTTTTTTTTTTTGAGACAGAATCTCACTTTGTTGGCTGGGCTAGAGTGCCTTGGCATCAGCCTAGCTCACAGCAACCTCAAACTCCTGGGCTCAAGCAATACTCCTGCCTCAGCCTCCCGAGTAGCTGAGACTACAGGCATGCGCCACATTGCCCGGCTAATTTCTTCTATATATTTTTAGTTGTCCAGCTAATTTCTTTCTATTTTTAGTAGACAGGGTCTTGCTCTTGCTCAGGCTGATTTTGAACTCCTAATTTCCAGCAATTCTCCCACCTCAGCCTCCCAGAGTGCTAGGATTATAGGCGTGAGCCACCGCGCCCAGCCAATCCTCTGCCTTTTTCTAATTCCAACTGGAACCAGAAAGTGGGCAAAGAATTGAAAGTGAGCCTAGGAGAGAGAAGTTACAAGAGCAATATCTTGTTCTTTACCCCTTACTTTCTCCTAGAATGGGAAGGCTTCCCCAGAGTGGGACCTACATTAGGTGGGATTATAGGTGATCTGGGTGACAACTAGAATGCTAAATGTATCTAAAACATAGATTTCAAGTGTCCTGGTAGGTACTACATAACAACCCGACTGCCCGACTTTGCTGTGTGTGGACTTGGACACCTTACATAACCCCTCTGTACCTCAGCTTCCATATCTGGAAAACTGGGATGGTGATATCTGCCTCATAAGATGTTGCTAGGATTATATGAAATGACAGGTTAGGTGCCAAGAACAGTGCCTGGCAAACAGAAAGCACTCAGTGAATATTAGCCCATTATGGCAGCATTACATTTGGTTAATGATTTTGCATGCACACGGGGTATTTACTCAATTAATGCCTAGAACTGGTAATACAAGGGAGCCCCCAAACTTCTAATTGCTCCAAGGGTTCTAGCACTGTTTTCAGAATTTTTTTTCTTTTGGCACAGACCTGAACTAAAGTCAGTCTAAATTTTTTTCTAAGACAAAAACGTCTCAAACTCTTCTTCTTTTGAAATTGGCATTAATTTGTGCCAGTTTATGGGGAGCAGTTTATGCCCTGGGACAGTGACCTACAGCATTTTCCCCAGAAGGAGTTAATGGCGCTTCCTAAGAGGCCAACGACGATTAAGTCAGCCACTGGAAAAACCTGGCTCATTATCACATACAAACAACTCACATCTCTGAAAGGTCACGCTGCTGCCTATGAAGGAGTATTCAAATAACCAACTGCTGACATCAGACCACGATGTCTTTCAGTAGGCATGAAATCTTTGAATGATGCAGAAGTAAATCGGATAAATGATCCACTGTCATTAAATCATGCAGGCTTAATTTATGTTTTAAGAAGTGAATATCAAACATGCTAATGAAGCATTTAAAGTAAGATTATTATACTGGCTAATCGATCCTTTTCCTAGGCAAAAATTTTAACCCCAGAATTCTGAGAATTGTATTCTAATACATAACAGTTACGTTTACTGCGTTTGACAGCTGGGTCAATTTAGAAATAGTACTGCAGGTAATTCATGCTCTGTGTTCATTTGAGAGGAAACATTAGTCATGAAAGGAAACACTAGTTCATGAAAGAAATATTTTCTGTAGAGAAATTTTTGCCTCTGTTATAACAAACATCTAATATAATAAATAATCTAATCTAATATTTTGCTTGGGCTTTTAATTTAAATTTTATTTACTCATTTTTGTATAAACTCTATTTTTTATAAATTCTATTCACATGGTATATAATTTAAACAAAACAAAAGGGTATAAAATGAAAAGTATCCCCTATAATAATTAAGACAAAAATCACAATTATTGTTATTTCTGAGATGAGGCAATGGAAGCAGATAAAATTGGGAAGGGGCATTCAAGGGGCATTAAAAATATCGGTACTATTCTATTTCTTAAACTGTTCATTTTAGTATTATTCCTTATACTTTACATAATCACTAGATAAATTTTCAATACAAAAAGGTAAAAAGGAAATCTGCCTCCAAGTCTCTCCTTTAGAGATTCAGCTGCCTGTCCCCTACGAATTGACTTTCAGGTTGTCTATCTTAAAAATCAGCTTCTACCAACACTGCTGCAGTAAGTAACCTTGTATACATCATTCGCTGTGTGTGCAAGTATTAGATCATTGTTTTTCCTGTGTGTGGTAAGACAAACAGTACTTTATAAATTTTATGTTCAGTGTTAACTATTATCTTTTGCACTATGACATACATGCTATTGACAGAAGTGTAAATAAAAGTTCCAGATAAATATTATCAGCGGGTGTTGCTTTAAGCCTCACCCATTGATTCTTGGTGTCTTCATCACACATATCACTGCATTAGTCTCATGAGCTTTTGCCATCACAGGACACGATGAGGGAGGCGTCTGATCCTATAGGCTATGAGGGAGCACTGGAAATAGTTTTACTGAATCCCCTCAATTAAAGTTCAATTATTATTTACCTTTGTTCTAGGGCAGCTCTCACTCCCCCTGAATTCAACTCTTCAAAAACTACAGTCAGAGCTTCAATGCTCCTAAAATTTTCTTCACTCCTTAACGCTTGCTAACCAAAAAGGTCACTGAGGTTAATTCCATGTACCTCAACGGTTAGAAATAAGATAATTTCTTTCTCTTCTGCCCCTCCAAGGAAAAGTGTAATCAGTCAGTGTCAAAAATACCTTGGGAAAGATGAGAAATATATATACCATAGGCAAAAAATACTTGTAGTGCTACAGAAAAATTTTGGACAAAGATGGTTTCTTATATTAGCCCACGGATAACAATTTACATATACCACTCTCAGACCTTCTTAGGTGCTTCTAAACATTTATTAGCCAATAGTATTCACTAAAAATAGCACAAAAATGTGAGCTTCATTAAATAGTTAAACGGCTAAACATAATAACGAGAGAGAAATAAGAAATAAGAAATGTTTTGAGGACTGTCATGCCATATACACTTTAAGCCACTAGATGGCGGTAAAACACAGACCATGAGTGCCACTGGTGGCCACTGGGGGCGGAGGGGAGAGGTGACCCCTGGGGAAGGATTCTCGCCTCGGTTTTACCGCCAGAAAAAAAAAAAATGGAGTCAAATTATGATTTTTTTTTTTTTTTACAAGATAGAAAGGTCATTTTGATTGAAAAGGAAACCTCTTTACCAGTTATGTTTGGGTTAAATTGCTGGTGTTTTTTTGTTTTTTTTTTTACGTCAACAATGGTTGAATATTGACCATTTTATATGGTTTGCTCTGAAAAGAACTTAGATGCCTAGAAGATGCTAGTTGTAATTTAAATTTATGAAGGCTAAAAAAGCGCTGAAAGGAAAATGGAACCAACTGAAGCGAGCTGCCTGTCTTCTGTCATAGCCGGCAGGGAAGGCCGGGTGGCCTCAAGCTGGAGGCCTGTGAGGAGACCGCGGTCGCGGCCGCCGGTGAAGTGGGTGAGGGGCAGGCAGGGACCGTTCAAGAATATTGGTAATGTTCTGTTATTGGCCATGTTCTAATTGAACGGTGATGTTCTAGAGTGTTCACGACTGCTGCCTTTTTTCTAGATGTCGCCCATGTGGTGTATTTTGGTTAAAGGCAAAATGGTGCGGTGGTTCCTACCCTGTATTTGCGAGTCTGGCTATCTCCTCAGCCTGAATGATGTGAGGGTCTCTCCAGGGATCCAGGATACTGTTTGGGTGTTTCCTGTTTTTTCCTTCATCAAAGATTCTGCTTCCTTTAACACTACAGACTTCCACATGAGAATTCTTTTTTTTTTTTTCTGGTTTCTTTTTTTCCCCCCAGCATATTATGGGGGTACAGATTTTAAGGTTTCAATAAATGCCCATTTCTCCCCCCTCCCCCCAAAAGTCTGAGTCTCCATCATGACCATCCCCCAGATGGTGCACATCTCACTCACTGATGTATGTATATACCGCCCCCTCCCCCTCCCACCTGCCCAATACCCTATTACTGTAGACCTATGTGTCCACTTAGGTGCTACTCAGTTTAATCCAGTTTGCGGAGAATATATCTGGTGCTTGTTTTTCATTCTTGGGATACTTCACTTAGTAGTATGGGTTCCAGCTCTAACCAGGAAAATATAAGATGTGCTATATCACCATTGTTTCTTGGAGCTGAATAGTACTCCATGGTATACATATACCACATTTTTAATCCCATCTTGGATTGATGGGCACTTGGGGCTGTTTCCACAGCCTTGCAATTATGAATTGTGCTGGAGAATTCTAGCTGACTCAGTTTTGCAAGGTGGTTGTCTCACAAATAGTGGGACTGATGCAGCTGACTACAGAGAAGGGTTTCTTACTTTTCAACAGTGCTGTGCCTCCTTAGTGCTCTTTGGCCCCCAAGAACTCTGAACAAAAAAACAAAAGGCCAGCTGTTGGGTGGCATGCTGTGCGCGAAAAAGGCAGTGAGATTCCTCTCCACACCCAGCCTTCATGCCTAAGGAAATACCCACACCAAAAGATTCCAAAACAAACATAAGAGAATATTTTAAAATTGAAATAAAAAAATATTTAAAACTGTCACTTTTTCTGGGGACCAAAGGAATTCTGAGCTTCTAGGTTTGGGAAACATAAGAAATCAGAGGTAGAAAAGAGTTTAGGTTAAACATCAGCAAGAATTTCTAGGCCTGTGTTTTTAGACATTGAAACAGAATATGGAGAGATACTGTAGGATCCTTTCTGAAAATTGTGTCTATCCAAGATATTTTAGGTTTTAGCCCAACCAACAAGGTGGATTATATCTTTGCATGACTTTCTAAATTCTCTTGTAATATAGGATTTTATTTTCTTCGCTTTACAAGAAACCTTGCTTTGAAAAGAACAGGAAGGGATGCTTTCATGTTTTAGAGATGCACTCAGGCATAAAAAAATGGGTTCTCAAAAAGAGGTAGAAGATGATCTTGGGAGAATATCTTCAACCACTTTAGACAGTGGGAAGCGATTTTTGGAAGTCATGGGAAAGGAAAATACACACAGAAAGATAAACCTAAAGGGATATAAAGTAAAATGCCAATAGCAGTTATTTGGGGGTTTGGAACTATGAAAAATTTTCTTTTACTTTTTGCTCATTATTTATATTTCTAAACTTTTTATGCAAAAATAGTTATTTGAGAGCCATATGGCTTTTTCATCATAATTTAGTGTGAAATTCCAAACTCTAAATTATGTTAGGAAAAGGGGATAATTCTTTGGCATATTTGGCTGAATATTTCCTGAGTGCCTTGTCTAAAATCAGTTGTTTTCTGTCCATTGGCAAAAACAATCATAGTATATCAGGCCAAGTAATATTGATATCACCTCATGTGACAAAAGCATTTTATATTTTTATCATTATAATATTTAGCATTAAACTGTAAGTGCTCTAGCCTGTATTTAAAAAAAATTTGAGGAGTTAGTGGTTAGGGCAACAAAATGTGCTAATTGTCCCTAATGAGGCCTAAGAAGAGGCCACAGGCAAACTGATGCTAACTGGGGTTTCTGCCTTAACTGCCTCCCCAGAGTGGTTCTGTCAATGGTGAAACTCTTCAGGATTTAACAGCCTTTAAAAAAAAAAAAAAAAATTCTAGGAGGGTTTTTCAGATCTTACATCCCAGTAAAAGGCCTTTGGTGAAAACTGTTATGAAGTTACTTAAAAAGAATCTGCAGCCTCTGGGGCAATGACCATCTTCTGCAAGGTGTTATGAGTCACTTAGCTAATCATAAGCAAAGTCTTCTAAATACATTATGGGATTATTTTAAGGCATCAGATATGTCTGTAAATTATACAGTTGATTTATATTCAGAATTCCAATTTCGAATGCGTTAAGTACACATCTTTTTTATTTAAATAGCTTACTAACAGAATAAATTATATATATACTTCTCAGTGTTCTGAAATTCTATTAGTATTTTTAGAGATTTTAGGTACACTACAGAAAATGTCTAATCATGTAAAAAAGACTTTGATGGCAGGGACCAAGTCAAATTTATTAATATATTTGTTGGAGATTAATAAATGCTACTTGAAGTAAGAAGGCAAGGTATCACATACAGATAATTTTTAATTTTTTACTATCTATTTAGATATATTTTTCTTATAATAATACCTAGAGATTTTTAGTTAGAAGTAAGAATAGCTGCCTGAATAAACACAAGTTGGAATGATGAGTTCTACACTTGGTAATGATTTTTATATTTTGCCTGATTTTATCTGTTCACCTAGTCCTTAGCTCTTAGATATAGAATTATAAGTTCTTAATAGTAATCAATTAAAAATCCTTAGTTTTATAAGAATTTGCTATCACATAATATGATTAAAGCATATAAATGTAAACTTTTTTGGACATAGAATATGGATATTAAAAAGAATTCATAATCTCCAGTAAAACCTTAAGCAAATAAGACATTAACCTTCTGAAAATGATGGTGGTCAAATTCTATTTTTCATTGCCTGTATTAATTTTAAAAAAATCACTCTTATCACATTATGTTATTTATGAACTGATTAAATTTTTGGTCTAAATTATAGCAATAACAAAATTTCAGGAAATTTTGAAAAGTAGAAGAACTATACATGATCCTACTATCAAATACCACTATTATTCATTTTTTAAAAACAGCACTTATTATGACATTTTAGAGATGAAAGAGCAATTTTATCCCTATACAATTAAACCAACAATAATATATATTAAATATCATATTTTCTAGCAATTATGCTAAACATTTTATAAGCCCAGTATTATTTCAACTTCTTAACAACTGTATGAGGCAGGTACTCTTGGAATTTAACACAGGAAGAAACTAGACATGAAAAAGTTCAGTGACTTGCTTAAGGCCATTCAGTTAGCAAGAGGACAGAAATGGTTTTAACTAGAGCCTGGCTGTCCTTCATCCAGGCAGTCCCCTCATTTTACCAATTGGAAAAAGAGGGCCTAGAGAATTGAAATAAGTTGCCTAAGGTGCTATAGCTATTTATGACATAGCCCATCAGGGATAATTTCTCGGGATTACTTGCATTTCAATATTTAATACTTCTTATCAGTCAGTGTTGGCTTTAAACCTGATCCATGCCCCAGGTTAAATCAGTTTTATCCCATTCTGTCCCTAGTTGTCTATACAAGGGGCTCTCAATTTCTCTTGCAAAACTGAAAAAAATATTGAGGGAGGCCTTTAAAAATACAGATGCTTGGATCTGATTCCCAGGTTTGGGGATTTAATTGATCAGGGGTGCAACACTGGGCACTGGGATAAGAGGTCTGTGCATGAATCTAATGTGTAGCTAGGGTCAAGAGGCACCAGTCTATCCATGGAACATCCAGTCAGTAACCTTTTTACATATATTCCAAAACATTTTAGATCATTTTATCCCCTTCTTGCATCTATGTCATGTAGTTAAAATATTTTAATGATGTATATGCCTAAAACAAATAAGTGAACATAAACATATCACTCAGCTAAATCCTTGTACAAATGACATATGTTTTAAAAAAGAAGTAAATAAGGTATCAGGTTGAATTGGATTATTGAATTTCAAGCACTGATCATGTACCTAATTATACTAAATGTAATTTAATCCATGATATAGCCTTCTGCTGCTAGTGCTTATGTCAGTTAAGGAAATATGGGCCCAATTAAGTGTATCACTTAGGTAGTTTGTTATTTGAAGCAAAGATACTCTTCAATATGGTCTAAGTCACATTCTCTAGCACTGCCTTTGAATTACTTGAATGAACCATAGAATTTTTATTTATACTTGTGTTTGATTTAAAACTAAATTAAGTTACAACCAGAACTAATCCCCCAAATTAAACTTTCCTATCTATGAGAAACCTGCCCGTTCACCCAGCTGTGCTTACCTGAGCAAATGGAGTCACAATCAAGTCATCTCCATGTCTGAAAAATAAACCAAATCCTGTGTTAGAAGTCACCAAAAACTCTATGCCCTCTTTTGATCAATATGAAACGGCAAGTTCCAGTTTTACAAATTCCCATAGAGAATTACAGTATTTCCATCTTTATTCTTCAGCACATGTTCCTCCCAGCAACTGGATTGAAAATATCTCGTCTGGAATGTTAACCATTGTCCAAGTCCCTGGGTGAAAAAGAAGAGCTTCTTGATCATCAACCAAGGTCACTGTTGCTTTTTAAGCACACAGGATATGCGACAGTAGAAACGGAGTTCCGGCAGTGGAGCCGGAGTTTTACTTTTGGCTTCTTATTGCAGATATTAGTAGGGGTTGCCGTGGAAGGAACCAGCAACTGCATTGGCTTCAGTAAGAGACCCTGGACCATCTAACATTTGAAGGTGATTAGCATGGAGTGTTCCGCATCATCCTGTGTAAGTCTTGGGCAGCCTAGGAACTGTAGATGACATGGGACTGCATCATACACTAATAAAAACCCAGTGAAACTTTTCAACTGACTCACACCCCGGCCACTGTAGTTGCAGGGGAATGTTACTCCGTGTGTGCTGTTGCTGCAGCAACCTCGGCTACACCATGCCCGGGGTATAGGAGCAAGGTGTCAGCATGACGTGTCTTGGAGGGACAGGGAAAGGCAAGGAAAGTTGTGCAACGTTCTACTTAGAGAAAAGTGAGAAACTGGGGTTCAGGGTTCTCTTGTGGTGTTTCTTAGCATGAATAATTCAAGAGAAGGATTTCCAGAATGTCCATGGGCTATTTCTTGATCTAGCCAGCCAAAGCTCTTTAATCAAAAGTGAATGTAGTTATTCTACAAAGAAAACTCCCTGGACGTGACCCTCACTTTAAACAGTGCAACTGAGCTGTTCGCTCACTCCTGAACAATCTGAAAAGGACCTGAGTGATATAAGACACCACTTGTGAAATACGCTGCAACATAAAAGGCATATGGATGATGTTAGCAAATAAATTATCACCAATATCTAAGCCAGGTGTTATGGTCATCATCAAATCATGCAGGTGTCGTGAAAATAAAAATGTGGAACATAAAAGCAGAAAAAGGGAAGACACATACTTTTTAAAGGTACCACATACTATTTTGTACCCCCTTAGTTTCAAAATTGCATTTCTCAAGCACGGGGTATCTGTTCTTTACAGAGATTATTTATAGAATCCTGGTCTCTAAGAAGGCTGGACATCAAGTTTTATTATGGTTTTGCAGAAGAGGTAACTGAGGTTAAGAGAGATCGTAAGGTCTAAAGGCTAATAAATGCTAGAGGCAGGACGTCAATCAAAAAAGGCTTTTGGAGGCCCAACCTTTCCCCAAAATGCCCCACAGTGAGAGCAAGCCTAGTGCACAGAAGCGGTAAGGAGGCCACTGTGCCAGAGGGAGCCAGCAGGAAGGCACAAAGCCAAGGAGTTAGAGGAGACACCTGGGTGAGGAAGAACAATGTGCAGAGCAGGAACTTTGGTGAGTAGCTCAGTGGTTCTAAAGAATGTCACGCAAGGCAGGAAGTGCAAGAGTAGTTGCTGGCGGTGAGTCAGGCAGCCAGTTACAGAGCCCAGGTACTACAAGTAAATGAACTTGGATTTGACTTTGTGGTGGAAGTTTGAGTTGCAATTCCAGCTCTGCCACAGACGACGTGTGTGAATGTGCGCACGTTATAAACCTATCTTTCCCTTCATCTCTTCATCTGTAAAACGGAAATAAAGTACGCACATATAGTATTGTTTGGGGATTAAATAAGTTAATAATGTTGGTGATGAGAAATGTGTTTACCACATAGTAAATGCTCAATAAACATTAGCTATAATAATAATAATTAGTAGTAAATATTTTTACATTGTAATGACTTTTGCTTTCCGATGCAGTCAAGAGACTGCAAAGACGCAGAAAACTGATAGATAAGAAGGACAGGTCTGTAAAGCATTGAGGGCTTTGAAGGGGCAAAACTAGAAGCAGGGAGACCAGATGAAAGGGTAGAGGAGATAAAAACCTCAACAAAATCAGTGGTAGTTGAGAGAGAGAGGGAAGATGACATTAAGGATTCTGTAAACAAAACAAAAACAAAAACTTTATTTAAAACATTACAAACATTTCCAAAAGTAAAAAGAATGTTATCATGACTGATACCTTTTATATAATATCGCCAACTATTACAACAATGCTGCAAGGTAGGAAGTACTACTCCCATTTCACAGATGGGAAAATTGAGGATTGAATAAGTTAAGAGACTTAACACAGAGTCACCCAGGCAGTAAACTCTCTACAGCCATAACTGGAATGGGCCCTGCTTAGGATTTCACTATCTGACTCTTACAGAAACAGCTTAAAAACAGATTAAAAAGAAGGCTCTAGGAAAATGGCAGGAAAAAAAGGGGGGAGAAAAGTAGTCACTATAGGCATCTGGTGGGGAAAAAGGCTTAGCCCACCATTCTAATCTTGCTTTCTGGCTGTTGACTACAGGCAAAATTTAGGGCTACAGTTTCTCTTATGAACTTATTTTGAAACAGTTGCCTAACTCTTACAAAACAACTGAGAAATACTTACAGATGCACCATTGTTTAAAAAAACAAAAAAAATGAGTACAAAATCCAAGGCTGAGTACGCTTCAGCATTTGACAACTTTCTACACACACGTAAGGCATCATAAGAGTCCACTGGAAGCCAAACATTCTTATAAGGCATGAGCAAATCAGTAAACCGGTAGTGTGTTAGAAGTCCAAAAATGAAAGGTAATTCCAGATATTTGTATACCACACATATATGGCATTCAAGATACTTAAATGATTCCTAAGATAAAAAGTATTATTTAAAAATCATTATCCTGTGATGGGAGGTATATTACACAAGGAGAAAAGATACGCCCTATATGTCTACTCAATTTGGCATCAAATAAACTATTAATCTGCTTCAACACATGGCCAAGCTGAAGACATCATATTTGCAAAATGGACTAGAGGCAGTTCAGAAAGCAAAAGTTAAAGTAATATGAAATCTAGATATTGTCCCAAAGTGCAGTTTCTTCTTTCATTGTATTATTTATAATTGCCCAACTACAAAGTTTATTTTCTCAGAACTAAGTCATCTTGATTGAGCCGCATCATTAATCTGAAATCCATGGAAATACGCCCCCTAAGTTTTTGCTGCTTTCTACTGGATTTGAATCATTCAAAACTCAAAAGGGTTGCATGTCTACTACAGCACAATTCTTTCTTTGGTTGTATTTCATTCCCAAGTATAGCAAAAGATATATTTAGAATATACAATATTTAAGATAATTTGTTTTCTTCCCTGTCAAAACACAAAGAAAGACAATTTATAATTTTAGTGAAGGAGATACGTCATTTTTTCTAATTGCCCAGAAACTGTTTCTGCCAAATATCTCAAGATTGTCTCATTTTGGTAACAGTAAAATGATTCCTAGCATTTCAGTGGCAGATGTCCTCAATAAAGGGTAAGTTATATTCTATCCATTTTTTCAAAAGCATATAATACTAAATTATCTTTAATTATATATCTAATATGTAATTAAAAAATCCTTGTCTAAGTTCTCAATTAAATATAATACAAACATATCTTTTAATTGTGTCCTATAATTTGCTTATAGTAATTAAAAAACAGATCTGGTAGTTAAGATCAACAGAAGATTCATTATTTTATTATGTACTATTTGCCATAAAGTATCTGTGGGTTTTAATGAGTTGAATAATTACACATACCCAAAAAGGCCTATGCAATAAAATGATTCTGAAATCCTTCACTTGAAAAACTTTCCCAACAAGGAACTTTTAAAAGTACCTCAGATAAATGAGGTGGGGTTAGGAGGGGTTATAATTCCAGGTAATAAGTCACCTACTGGCGACATGAGTTTTGGGGAGGATTATGCAATATCTATATCTTTCATTTAAGTAAAAACAAACATAACAACAACAACAAACTTTAAAAAAAACAGGTGGGATGTGCTTTAAAGAACAAATAGCTTTGTTTTTTTAGAACTGGAGTATTTATGGGGGACAAGTGGGGAAAGAATGCGAGCTAAGGGTTCTCAGAAAAAAGCTTTTTTAAAACAATTTCAGATTTTTACGGTGGTACATGGTACACACGTTTTGGTTATGTAATTTGCCTTTGTACAGTTTGAATCAAAATTATAAGTGTGACCTTCACCCAGTTAGTGTGCATTGTATCTGCTAGGTGTGAATTTACCCAATGTATATATGTATGTATGTATGTATATAAGTATGTATGCATGTGAGTGGTGAAACCGGGTAGCTAGGAAACAGTTATGGCAGAGTACAAGTGCAGAAACTTCTAGAATAGACAGGATGAACCATTGAGGGTCACTTTGGGAGTCAGTGTCACACTAGTCTTCAGTCTTGTGACGTGGAAGGAGGTGCTGCATGCTCGGTCACCTGCTCTGGTTACAAGGGGCTGAACCGGAGTCACCTTTGGTAGCCCCTGGAGCCCTGCCTCTCACCTCTCACAAAGGGAAGGGCTTGCTGAGTCCTGAGCCAGTGCTTCTGGAGGCAGAGGATACAAGGCTCAACGGTGCACTGTCAATTTTTCTTTTTTCCCAAGAGAAATGACAATTGAGTCTAGAACTCCTGCTCTCTATGCCTTTTGCCATCCTTCTACTTCTGTATTATTTACCACTTTATTTTCTACCTTCATTCTGTATGTAATAAGAAGCCAGAAAAATAGACAAGAAACCAAAAGAAAGAAATCCAAAAGCAAGCCCTTTTACAGAGACCTCGTTGGGATAAACTATTCAAGTACTTAAATATGAAAAAGCCTGTTGTCATCTTAAAAAAGAATAAGTTCAATCAACATCAGCACCTGAAGACATTTCATAAACTAGTTCGAGATTGTGTCAAAACACACTAGGTGGCAATCTTTCTCCATTTTACTATTACCAAACCAGCAGGAAAAGGAGATGAAGTGAATTAGAAGAGAGTTTTTACTTCATTGAGAGA